TTCTTAATTTTGGGTTGGAAAAGTGGGGGTCGTCTTGTACATGGGGTCGTCTTATTGACGGAAAAATACGGTATGTTAATAGTATTATTGTTATGTATCATTTTCCTCTTGATAGTTTCAGTGCTTACTTAATTTGGGACCTGATATCCCAGGCCACTTTCTATTTTGAAATCAGCAATTTTTAACAAATTTTTTAGTTATATAATGTGTCTAAAAATGATAAAGATTTGCACTGGCCAGGCTCAAAAGAGAAATGTGCTCAAATGCTCACACTTATGCTTCTCAAACAGAAGTCCCCAGGACACATAAAAATTACTTTTGGCATGTATATTTGGTGGGGGAAAGGGGCTGAAAACAAGCTAATATCAGCAGGGTCAAAAATAGCTATGACTAGGAATTATTGATCTTATGTAATCTCCCTATTATCACTTTTTGTGAGTTTTCAAGTTTTTTGCAGCACTTCAGAAATACATAAATGTTTGTATGCTTTCACAGAAAAATGTCTCATTTCACCTTCAGTGCTCTTGAAAACTATTTTTTCAGATTTTAGTTGAATCCTGGAACTATATCGGCAGAGTAATTAAGTTAGGTTCTTTTCCCAAACATTAAATTCTAAAGTTATGAGGATTCTCCCCTTAGTCTGATAATTAGGTCTTAATTTTTTTAAAAAAAATCTGTTGATACCAGCTGAGGTAATAATAAGAAAAACAATGCATTCTGTCTCACAGCTCTCTTATACTAGCTAATGGGGCCATGCAAAGCCTTTGAAAGAGGTACTTTACGAAGTGCATTAATAGGAGCACAGAACCTCTCCTCTTCAAAATATTTGAGTGGTCACATTCCCTGGAAGACTCCATGGCTGCTCAGAATGCTGTCCCTGGTTGCGTGTGCATGCATGTATGTGCACAAAGAGCAATTCTGCTAGGCCTGCCAGTGAAATAAAGTGGCTGGGAGCATGCATCTATGCGCAGAGAGCAGTGAAGCGGCCAAGCCAACCACACAAAGGACTCAAGGTTTTAACAAGCCAAAGCTTTAACTCGCCTCTTTCGAATGCTGTGCCCAGCTCTGCTGGTTAATAAAAATTACATTGTTATCTTATTCCTCACCAATTATCCTTGAATTTAAAGTACCTTTTAACAAAACCCAAATGTGGGGGCTGGGAAAATAGAATGTTCTGATAAATCCAATGCCTTTTCCAGTTTCGGTTTTCTCATTTCAAAAAACATTCCCTCCCCCACCACGCGCCATGAAAGGAAATATATTTATGGCAACTCCTGAGCTTATTTTAATGCATTTCAGGTCCTAGGGATGGGTGGGGGCAAAGGGCACTGCATAGCCTCCACATTTCCCAATACTGGAAGTAAATCACTGTGGAGATGGCAAAGAGGCCCAAGAGGTAGATCTGATGTCAGATTTCTCCACCCAAGATCGAGCCCCATCTGTGACCCCAGACAGAGAAGTCTAAGAATCCTTTTAAGGTTGCACCTTAATCCTTATTCACAGCTTTAAAAATAAATGAAAAACAAAGGGTAGACTATTTTATGATTGAATGTATACATTTAAAAGCATTTGATTTATCCCTCTGAAAACTGTCTGTATTAACTACAGAAAGTGTGCCTGAAGAGATGCAGAAAACATTTACCAATAGTATGATGTTGTTTAGAAAGAAAATGTATTAGGTACCAGATTCTGACTTCATTTCTTCTCCTGAGACGTTCTTATCATATGCATTAATGCAAACTGTGTACTTTTATTTTCATTCTTCAACTATACTGTTGCTTAGTTCACATTAACAACTGCTGATTATAAAATCTGGGTAAGAAATATCTACATTTCTGTATCTGGACATGTATACATGACCATAAAAGCTTCTTTATAAAAGGCACATTACCCTTTTGGAATATGTCCCACAACTTCCAGGCCATAGCTGTGCTCCATATCAGCAGAATAGCAAATGAGAGAGGTAGCAATTACCTATTGATCAAGCAACAACAAAGATTAAGTGATTTGAAACAACATAATATTATTAAAAAGTACAAGAAGTAATATAACTGTGTTTTTCTACTTCCTTAGAAATATGGATTAGAACTAACCATACAGACAACTATGAGATGGGATCACTTCTTGAGCACCATAATTATTGGAGTCAGATCAAGATTTCCTCATCTGTTGGGTTTAGGGGAGACATAAAGGGTTCTTTTTTGATCCAAAGGCCATACTGTAGCTGGGAAAACACAATGGAAGCCATGTGCCAGCACCTTGTGGCCATTTTTCCTTCTGTGACATTTCTTAATTTATTTTAGAATTCCAAAGTCATTCACACCCTAATCTATATTATTGAAGAGAGTCCCTAGCCTTCCAGAGACACTTTCTGGAGTCCAGGTGGCTGTGGGAACAGGAAAGAAAGGTAGGAGTCATACAGTCATACTCTATTCATCCTTTCTAAATGGTGTAAAAATCCCAGGGAAGGATATGGTAAAACCTCTGCAAGGGCAGCTCTTGACTAGCCTGCATGAAGATGGGGATTTGGATCTAATATTAAATGTATACAACTTTACATTGGAGCCACAGTATAGATTTATAACTATATAATTGATTTTGATTAAAAAGGATCAAGGTATCTTACTCATCTGACATTTTTGAGGGAAACAAATTGAGGGATTCCTCAGATTAATTACCATAGCTAATATATCATAACATTGCCTGACTGAAGTTAAAGGGCACAAATAATATTGATTAAACCTTCATTATCATTTTCTTTCAAAAGAATATAATGTTTTTCTCAGAAGTTTTATGAGAAACACTATACAAATCTTGTGGCAGTGAACTGTTGAGATGTGCTGCTTTTCAATATTATTTTGTTTGTTTGATTATAACAGAGGAGAAGGAAAAGAATTTTCAGACAATACGGTCAAGTTTTCTTGAGTTATTTTATTTATTTATGGTGTTTTCCAGGCATTTAAATTTTTGTAATATATCATGTAATGTATTTTAGCTGATTTGTTAATCATGGTATAAAATAAAAATATTAATCTGATAAGTTATCTTTTTCAGAGTTATGTATTTGTTAGATTTATATCATACCTTTCCTCTAAGAGGAAATACAAATCACCACCTCCTCCTCCCATTCTTTCTGCAACAATGCCCTGTAGATTTACATGTGTCTGTGTGTGTGTGTCTGTGTGTGTGTGTGTGTTTGATCCTGGGAGTCGCCATGGCTGAGGGTAGACTTGAACTGGTTCAATCCAGTCCTAGCAAACTGACTGTATCATCATTATAATGCTAAATCTATACATACTTGCTCCACACAAAATAATCAGAAGGCCCCAACAACTGTAGCAGATTACCAGTACAGTACCTAAAATGTTATACTTACCAGAACCAAATCAATGGGAAGCACCATTTTAATTTTCTTTTTAAATTTTTGATTTAGCTCTTTAACAAGGACTAGTATGGCAATACTAGATACAGATAACAGCATAGCTTCCAACTGAACGGACTTGATGTTTTCAAAGATGTAGGCATAAATCTAGAGCGGAAAGAAAGAACATTCTCAATAAATAAGCAATACTTAAAGGTATATTCAAGGGATAGAAAAGTAGGTTTCCAATATTGAGACCAATTCATGAATATTGTAAACTGGATCCAGCTATGCCCTCCACAAACAGTAGAGTTTCTGTAGTTTTCTGAAGGGATTCATATTCAATAGAGATCCTTGTCAGAGAAAAAGGAAGAGGGATAACTTCTGCTAAATGTCTCCTCTTTCCTGTAATTTCCAGAGGGCTTCTTAATTTTCTGAATTACAGTATGAATCTGTGATATTTGCTTCTTACGCCTACAGATGTCTAGATGAACACAAACACATATATCTGCATAGTATTTCATATGTAAAAGATGTAAGATAGACAACTGATATGGCAGATTTAGTCAACTATGCTTTCTTGAGTTACAAAAATTACCTGATTAAAAAATCAATAATTATGGCATGGAATATCAGTACTAACAGCCAACGAGCTACAGAAGAAGCTGCCATTAATGGCAGAGAAGCAACTCAAGGCATAGTTTAAGAATAGCAACTATAGCAAGTTCTAAGGCTCACCTCCCACAAGCATGTAAACAGAACCTAATGTTCCCCATTCAAAGACAAAAGCTACATGGGAATTCCTCTTATAATGCACAAAGTGTGTTATGAACATTTATAAATATTTCCTTATTTATGGCAGGAAAACTGTATTCATAATAAGAGGGAATCAAAAGAAATGAAAGAAATAAAAATTTAGGAGCTTTACACTGAAACTCAGCAAAAATGGGAAAAGCCAGTGTCTGTCTGTCTGTCTGTCTATACATACATATATAATGTTATATAATGTAGTGCATCTTCCTTGATAAGAATAGAAATTGATTCTATGAATATTTTTAAGGAAATCAGAATATATTTATCTGGGGTTTTCTAAGATGGTTTGGCAACATAAGATATTACATGTACATAAAGAATATATAAACCAACTTTACAGAACAATCCTATGGGGTAATTACAATGTAGTGTAGTGGACTAGGATCAGAGAGACCCAGATTTATTCTCCACTCAGTCATGGAGTTCACTGGGTGACATTGGGACAATCATTTCTCTTAGCCAAACTTAACTAACCTGTTTGATGTTGTGAGAATAAAATAACAGATGCCCCCATGTATGCTGCCTTTAGCCCCTCAGAGGAAAAGCAGGACACACATGAAAATAAATAAATTAGTGCATAAGTAAATACATAATATCCCAGAGCTAAGTCAAATTTAACCTACTCAAGAATATATAACAAGGATACTTTGTGTGACTAACAGAAGAGAAGAGGAGGGGGAAGGGATTTTATAGACGAGCCAGATATTTGGAAGGCAATGAAACTGCAACTTCTACTCACTGTTCTTCTCCTGTAATTAAACAATGAAGATATTATACTAGATAACTTAGGAATTGGCAGACAGAATGTCATGGCTACCCAGAAAAGCATGTTGCCAAAAGCATGTGGCTTTGGCTCGACTAAGTTAAAAGACAGAAACTTGGAATGCTAT